CAGGATGACTCGGTCTTGCCATAGTCTGGTTACATAGGCAGGAAGAGGCGTGCCTGGGCTCCTGGCTTTAGTCCTCCGGGGATCCTGGTGGAAAGATCCCTGCAGGAATACAGACAGGAGCACATCTCTCACCTGGCGTCACTTTATGCTTTCGCGTTTAGATTTTTGGATGTTTTGCTCTGACTGAACTGAGTCACGGGAGTAACACCAAGGCCATGCGGACCATAGCTCACTACGATCCCGCCACTCAGGTAGGTTCCAGATTCCCCTGGACCCTGGGTGGAGCACACGAAATGTTGTGAATGAACAATAATTAATCAAGAGTGTTGGCCCCTTACACACTCTCGTTAGAGGTCAATGTCAGATGCCTCTGAGAGCATGCCTTGTGCTGAGGCGTGAAGCCTTTACCTTCCAAGCTGAGTAAATGAGTATGGGGACAGGCCACGACCGGTTCTCTCGGAGCTCCTAGTGTGCAGGGTGGGAGGGACATGGGTCTCAAATGTCGGGGATGGCCGGTGCTGCCGTGGGGTGTGGAAGCCCTCTTTCTCCACTTGTCTGAGGATTGTGTCCTGCTGCCACCTTCCTTTGTGTGCTGTTAGGAGCCTCACCCCTTCCCATTAGCTGGGGTGTGGTAGAGAGGGTCTGCGTACAGAAAATGAAGGTCAGTGTTCAACACTTGCTCACTGATTCATCCACATGGCTGACTGTGGGCTCCGGCCTGAGCTGCTGTGTGGTGGAAGTGGAACAGATCATACCACGTGCAGCCCTGCCAGGGCAGGGACAAGTGAGAGGGACCGCCATGCAGGCTTTATTGCTTGCTTCTTGACCAAGATTTCCCTCTTGGTCTTTCTGACTCCTTGGCCCTGTCTGCTCCCACTGTACTCTGGTGCCTGTGGTTTCTGTGATCTTCTATGGGTGGGAAGCCCGCCCTGACTGGTAGCAGAGGGCCCCGGGGCCATACCTTAGGCTGTGGGGAAACTGCTGACTCCACAGAGCCAGAGACACCCCTGCCAATGACATGTGGCCCTAGCTCATGTGCAGTTGATGCCTCGCTTGTTCATTCCCAAAGTTCCTTTCAAAGGGACAGTGCTCCCTGCGGGTGCCCATATATTCAAATCGACAGACGGAAAGCAGGCACTGTTCATTAGCAGTCAGGAGGGGATGTGGCAAGAAAGAAAACAGACCTCTGCTGGCAGAGTGTGGCCAGTGTCAGCCTCCGCGGGCGAGCGCCAGCCAGCAGTTCACTGTGTGAGAGACTGAGCCTCATTTTCCATTTCCCCTGTAAGGTGACCCTGGAACAAAAATACAGTCAGCTTGGCCCACACAGGAAATAAAACGTTCAGTCCATTTTCACTGTTGGCTCAGAGGCTTGGAGCACAGGAATCAGCCTGGTGCAGAGGTAAAGCCATTCTCTGCTCTCGGCTGCTGGTTAGAACGCTGCCATCTCCCTTCACAGGAGTTCATCTTACAGTCCCCGGATTTCGAGGCTGCCAAATTTTGGGTAGGCAACATGGGCAAGACAGCGACGCACGCGGTGGTGTTTGCTCAGCTGCACATGCCGGATGGCCAGTGCCACGGGCTGCATTCCTTCCTGGTGCAGGTAAGACCTGGGTGGGGCTGGCCCCAGGTAGTCGGTTACCTGCAGCCACAGGCATGGTGTTGGTGCTGTGAAGCAGACTTGTACTGCTGGGTTGGTGCTGGTACTCGGCTTCCTGCAGCATGCCTCACTTTCAGACCACAGGGCCGCAACGCTGCTGGAGTCTCCTTGAGTGTGCTAAAAGCACCCAGCAGGCCTGTCGCTATGGCACACATCTGTCATCCCAGCCCTCGGGAGGCTGAGGCAGGATTGTGAGTTAGAGGCAAATCTGGCCTGTGTAGAGAAGCTCAGTGACATCTCACCACCCCCCTCCAGCAGAGCGCCTGTACTCAGGGCACAGCCCAGGCTGTCTTGCAGGGTTGACACTTATCACGGGAAATAGACAGGTGAATTTGCACAATTAATATTTATGAGTTAAGCATGGCCTTAGATATTTTTGCTTTCCACTTTGGAATTCTTTCCAGATAAACTGGAAACTGGCCCTAATCTTATAATTTTTTTTTTTTTTTGTTGTTGTTGTTGTTTTTGCTTTTTGAGACAGTGTTTCTCTGTGTGCTTTGGCACCTTTCCTGGAACTCACTTAGTAGCCCAGGCTGGCCTCGAACTCACAGAGATCTGCCTGGCTCTGCCTCCCGAGTGCTGGGATTAAAGGTGTGCACCACCACCATCCGGCTAGTCATATATTTTTTAAAAGATTTATTTGTTTTTATTTTATGTGTCTGTGAGTGCTGTGCACCATGTACATGTAGTCCCTGTGGAGGCCAGAAGAGGGCGTCAGGTGCCATAGAACTGGAAGTACAGTTGGTTGTGAGCTGTCTGGTGTGCATGCTGGGACCCGAACCCATGTTCTCTGCCAGAACTACTGAGGGGTATGGAGCTGCATGAACTGTGTCTGGGGACAAAAATGAGAAAAAACAGGAAGCCGCCAGGGTCTCAGTAGCCTCTTCAAGGACACACTCCCAACGGCCTGATTTCTTTTTGCCATGTCTCACCTCCCTACAGCACCATGGGCTGATGACCAAACTATTTACCTCTGGGGACCAGGAGCCAAGCCTTGGCTCTTCCTGGTCATCTCTACTGTCTCTCTAATTGTTTGTTTTTTATGGCATTTTTTCAAAAGGTTTCTAAAATGTTTGTGTCTAAATCTTCACTGTAAGATTATAGAAGATTAAAAGCTGCCTTATGGTTGAGTTTTAGCCTTAGTATTATACATATATAAATACACACACACACACACACACACACACACATACACACACACACATACACACACACACACACACATAAAAGTTAAAAAAAAATCAGATCCATAAACTAAAAGCTAGTGACTTATACAAATAGCTAAGTTCCACATGCCTAGATTCAACCAATGCACCCTCATGCTCTCCCATTTTTTTCCTTTGGTTCTGGGGTTTGGAACACAAGGTCACCCTTAGTGTATCCTGGGCTGTGTTCTCAGACTCCAAGTGTCTTTAGAGCGGGGTGTCCCCACCCCAGTGCTTCTGTCCTTCTGGCCTAAGATGTCCTGTGTTTTCTGGGTGGGTAAGCAGCAGCTGTGGTTGTTCCTTACTACTGCATGCTGAGGGTGTCTGTCCTCTAGAACAGCAGCATCTCTAGACATTGTCCCATCCCCTGGAGGGGAGAGAAGCAGTGGGACTCTGCTTTAAGGTTGGCAATCATGCTTCATGGGCAATGAAACCCATCTTCTTCACGGAGCCCCTAGGCCAGGCGTCTCCCCTAGGCCAGGCGTCTCCAGCCAGTCAGGCCTGCATTCCTATAGGGGTGTTTAGTGCTCACCCACTGGGGAGAGGAGATTGACGTGGCTTGTCCTGTCTGTCCTTCCCACAGCACATATGTGCGCAGCCATTTTGTCGTTATGCTGGAGCCCCACTGTGGCTCCTCTGTCTGAGGCATGAACAGGATCGCTCTATGTCCCCTAAACAGTGTGAGCCCTCAACCCGCCCTGCCAGGACTGAGCCACGAGAGCCACTGGGCTCTAGAGCTGGAGTCAGGAATCAGTGTACCCATTGACGGCTCAGGAGGCTCTCCCCTACCTTCCTCAGCTGCCGGCTTCCTTCACTGGTCGCCATGTCAGGCCGGCTTCTGCCTCATCACCACACTGCCTCTCTGTGAATCTGCCCCCTTTTGTAAGGACACTTACCATGGATTTAGGGCCACCCAGGAGTCCGGGTGATCTTGTGTTGAGGTCTCTGCCTTATTATAGCCGCAGAGGTCCATTTTCCACAGAAGGCTCCATCCCCACACCTGGACATATCACTCCAGGGAACCCAGTGTGACCCAGAGCTGTTCAGAGTCACCCCTGTCAGAGGTCAGCTTGTCTGGACATGCTACCTTGTCTGCTGAAAGACTAACTGGCCATTATCCCCCCCCCATGGCTTTGTACAGATTCGGGACCCGAAGACCCTGCTCCCCATGCCAGGGGTGCTGGTCGGCGACATAGGGAAGAAGCTGGGGCAGAATGGCCTGGATAACGGGTGAGTGCCACTGGCCTCATCAGACAAATGCTACCTCCCTGGGGCTCCAGGAGTTTTCCTAGGCCACAGGCCGGAGCTGGCTACTGAGAAGTGTGGGCTTCTCAGGACCTGGCTTGGCTATGGTTAGGCACCACCACTGAACTTCTTTGAGCAACAGCCGTGGCCTGCATAGTCTCAATTCCCAGAGGTCCACGTTGCCCTAGCACCCCGTGGGCCAGCTTCTCAGAGTGTGACTCTCCCAGCTCTCAGGTCGGTCTAGGACTGCCCCCTGCTGCCCCAGGGGAAACCTCAGGCTGTTGGGGGGGTGCCTATGTTGGACCTTCCTTCCTCTGTGAGGTCTCTTGGCGGTTGGCCTTAGTTGTTCACTGTGAAGTCTGCTGCGAATATTTGCAGGGCTGATCTGTAGCGGTGAGCACTGAGCACTTGGATGAGAGTGAAAACCGTGGGCTGGACGAGCCCGGAAGGACCTTCGCTAACTCCTTAACCAGGCTGGGTCCCTGTGGTCAGTAGCACAGCGGGGTGGTTTGAGGTTTATGGTATCCCAGATGGAGGAAGAGCGGTGAAGCCAGCTCCTGAGGGTTCTCCGTATCTCCGAGCATCCGTTTTTGCGACCCAGGTGGGCGGCAGCAGCTGAGTGGCATCCAACGGGGTAGAGCCCACTGTCATCCATATCATTTCTAGTCCAGCTTCTTTGCCTAGCCCGCAAGGGACCTGCTGAGCAGCCTGGGGTGCCTTCCTGCCTTCTCCTGGGTCAGTGCGTACAGTGCGTACCCCACCCAGCTCCACGGTGCCTGTCCAGTGCACTCAGACCCCTGTCTGTCCACGAGATAACTCATGACTATGGGAAGAGGCCAAAATAGGGTATCCCCAAGCATTGTGACCTGTGCTGTGTTAAAGGTGTTTGCCTCCCTCAGTTCTGTGTGTATTTGGGTTCTCCTGGACATTCTACTGTCTGCCCATCACCAGAAGGCCAGGGTAAGGCCAGGGGAGGGCTTAGGCCTCCTGAGTCTGCAGGTCAGCAGCAGACAGTGTGGAGGGGTCCAGAAGCACCAGTACCTAGCAGAATAAACTTGAGAAAGATCAGGGCTCAGAAGTCATAGAGTGTCACCACCTCTGCTGAGGGCTCTGTGTGCAGCCCGGCTAACCTTGGCTTATGCTGGTGGTGCATTGTAACATGTAGCCAGTGGTCCCAGGGCCTCTGTCTGCTGTTCCCCCTCGCCTACAGATTAGAGCAGTTAGAGTAACTTTGGAACATAACAGAGAGCTTGTACTTGGTCCCATCACAGCAGCTCCCATTTTTAGAGAACAGGTAGTCTCCTGGGACACATCTCACAGGTACCAAGTCAGATGTTTACCAGAGCTTCAGCATATAGGTGTGGCAAAGTCTCGGTTGAGAGTCACCATGGAGACGCTGCAGGACAGCCTGAGCATCTGTTCCAGCAAAGCAGGGTAGTCCAGTGGCCTGTTGTGCCCTCTCTGTCATGCGTGGCCGCAGGAGAAGGCCTCTGGGTCCTTGGAAGAAACTCAAGTAAGCTTCCTGCCTGCACTGACGCAGGCTACCAGCAGAGGACGCTAGAGCTCCAGAACTAAGCGGCTGCCCTGCTGGTCTTAGGCCTCAATTCAAAGAGCAGCACTCTAAGTTAGTGCTGCTTTTAAACTGGGCTCTATTTCTAAGTTAACTTTTGTCCTTTCGTGAGATTCCCAAACCTGTCGAGACTATCGAGGAATCCAGAGCAGAGCCAGCTGCGTGGTCACTTTCAATCAAACATTCTAAAGACAAGGATCTTTCCAGGAGACACTGAGCCAAACCCTCAAGGTGTTCGCAGTAGTTATCATAATGAGGCCGGGCCTTTGGGCCTGGGAGTCCTCCCTGAAGAGGCCGAGGAGCCCAGGATGAGGATCTGCTCCAGGTGGGGCTGCGCTGGTGGTTCCTGAGGGGCCTCCAGAGAAGGAAGTTGCTGGAATTTGCAGCAGGACACCCGGGTGGAAGTTATAGGATACAAATGCTCTCTACACCCTTCCGACATGCCTGCCACAGTCCCACCACCACGTGCCCCACGTTATATACATGTCCCATGTCACTGCCCTGTGCCGTCCACACATGCTTACACCACTCTCCCTAGCACCCCTACTCCATCTGTCCCCATACCACATGCCTCATGTCACAGAGATATCCTATGTCACCGTCCTGTTATTCACATGCACGCACACATGCACACACACACGCACGCACGCACCCGAGCTGCCTCAGCCCCCCATTCATATACTCCCACGCATACCTACTTGCATCTCCCCATGCCCTTTATCACACGTACATCCCATACCACACATATGTGCACATGCCTTGTGCCACACACTCCCTGTGCCCCACTGTCACCCCCTGCTGTCCACACATCCGTCCCCTGCCCTCTGGAGCCCATAATCGTGGTGTGCCAGTAGCCCTCCAGTTGGACCCATCTGGCCATTTCTGTGGATATAAAAGTGACCCAGAGAACGTTTGTGAGATTTGCTCTCTTAAACGAGAGTGGAAACTTCACAAGCACGAGTGTGTTCAGACTCATTCTACCTCCGTGACAGAAAGGGGGAAGATTTTCCACTCCTTAAAAAGTGCTTTCCGTTGACAACATTGTACTTGAAAAGCATTTCTTGGCTTTCAAGTAAACAGTTGGAGCACCTCGGGCTTGGCACTGAGGCTGGGTTTTCTTAAAAATGGGGCATTGTGTGCGGCCTGCAGGCTGGGCGCGGGCCAGGTGGCTGCCAGACACAGTGCACTCTGTTAGCTGGGGGTACTGTGCCGAAGTCTGCCACCCCGGGGCTCTACTTAGCTCTGTCCTGTGGGTACTGGGAAGGGCTGTCTCCCGGGACATGGTTTTGTGGGGATGGCTCCTCCACCTTGGAGGATTCCCTTCTACCCCAACACTCTGTTCCTTTTCCCTAAGTTCCTGGTAGGGGCCAGGTACCGTCGACTTGTAAGAAAAACAGGATGGCTCCAAGAATCTGCTGCAGGAGCATGGCTTCCTGGGGAACAGGGCCAACCGAGTGATTACTCTGACTAGGACTACCCATTGGTGTCCCGGAGAGAGGTCTGCCTTGCGGGATGGCTGGAAAATGGTGTGAACTTCCTAGAGGAGATGGCAGCTTGCTTCACTCTGAGGGAGACCCAGGATTCTCGGAAAGAGGCAGGGAGGGCCACCGGTCAGCAGAGAGCCTGGCCGCGTGGGAGTCTCATAACCATGGTAGTCTTGAGTCTTTTTGAAATACTTTGCTTTTGCCTGCTGTTTACTGAGGGCAACTCAGGTGGAGGGGGGCTGCCTCCAACCAGGGACTAAAGGAAGTCAGATGCGGGTGAGGAGCAGCAGGCTGCCTACCACCATCACAGATGGTAGCTGGTGACCGATGAGGTCCTCTGTGTGTGCCTAGTGGCTTAGCCGCCGGGCACGCTGCTACAGGAACCGCTGAGATTTTCAGGTGTGTTTCATTTTGAAGCTGACATAGATTTGTAACTTTGCACAAGCTTCCTTAAACAATGTAAGAGCGCCTTGGGTTGCCAGTGCCCAGTGTCCCTAGCAACGCCTGTTGGACCCTTTCCCCAGCTGCTCAGGGGAAGCAGATCACTGTTCCCAAGCAGTAGACTGGACTGCAGCCTCTTCCGTTTCATTTAGCATTTTTAAACCACCATCTGCCGGTTTTCTCTCTCTGTCCTGGGGATTCTGGTTTGAGGTTGAAGTCTGAGGACCAGTGGTGGCAGTCTTTAGAACCAACTCCAGACTTTCTGTCCATGGTGCGTGACCTTTGCTGTGCACAGGTGGATGGTGGAGCTTCTCTTTGCCAGTGACATGGGAGCGCCTCCACACTGGGGAATAAAGAGCTGGGCCATGACGGGCCACGCATGGCCCCATCACACAGGCCCCTGGCCTTTGGGGGTGATGTTACCTAAAGCTGCTCTTGGGGAGAAGAGGAAAGCTCAGGAACCATGTTACAGACTCTTGCAGGACTTGCATGATGGAAGCCCACCTTTTCTCCTGCACAGATTTGCCATGTTCCACAAAGTTCGAATTCCTCGACAGAACCTCCTGGACTGGACTGGGAGTGTCAACTCCGAGGGCACTTACAGCACCCCCTATAAGGTACCAGTGGGCTGTGGGTATCTGTGGACAGAACTTCTCAAGTGTCTGTCTTCATGTGTTGGCGATCACCCCAGGAGCAGCTGGCCCTACGTATACCACACATCAAACTCGGGAGGGTTTGGTGCCCTCAGCAGAGAAGGAGCTTAGCCGCCGTGTTGGTGGGCAGGGGTGGCCTGGATCTGGCGGCATTTTCTGCCTATGCCTGGGTATCCATGTCTGCTTGGGTAGGGGGCTGCTCTCCCAGAGCATCTAGACGGAAGCTATCTTGGTTACTATTGCTGTGATAAGACACTATGGCCAAGACAACTTATAAAAGTGTGTTTAATTTGGAACGTGAGGTTTCAAAAGGTGAGAGCCTGTGGTGGCAGAGCAAAGGCTTGGCACCTGGAACAGCTGAGAGCTCATGTCTTGATTCACAAGACAGAGAGACACACACTGGGACACTGTTTTAAAACAGTGCCTAGCGGCTTAGCCGCCAGGCACACACAGAGGACCTCATCGGTCACCAGCTACCATCTGTGATGGTGGTAGGCAGCCTGCTGCTCCTCACCCGCATCTGACTTCCTTTAGTCCCTGGTTGGAGGCAGCCCCCCTCCACCTGAGTTGCCCTCAGTAAACAACAGGCAAAAGCAAAGTATTTGAAAAAGACTCAAGTGTGTGTCTCTGTTTTAAAACCCCAAAGCCTTCCCCCTCAGTGGCACACCTCTTCTAACGAGGCCATCCTTCCCAAACAGTTCCACTGATAGTATTCAAACATGTGAGCCTGTGGGGGCCATTTCCACTCATAGCACCACAAGAGGGCCACATGCAAAGCTGTGTACAGGTGGGGTAACCAGATGTGGTGATAATGGAGAGTGGTCAGGCTATGGATGGAGATAAACCATGCCCACAGCTCGGGAGTGGTGAGCAGGTGGGCAGGTGGCTGACCCTAAGAGGAGATGTTTCAGGAGGATCCTCCCAGGAAGGACACTCCTCAGACAACCCTCACCCTTTGCCTGGTGGGAATGCAAGAATGAATGCAACTAAATTATTTGAGAGAAATTAGCCCTGTGAGCCAAGAAGCCACGTAAGACACAGAACGATACAAAAACAACCAATTACAATTTACCATAATGTCAAAGGCTTAGAAGAAAGAATGCAGTGGAAGGCCCTGGAGAGGTGAGTGTCCTGCCTGCCACAGCAAGGCTCAGGGAAGTGACAGACTAATAATGTCTCCAACTAGAGAAAGAAAGACTACTGAAGAGGATCTGTGTTGTTCCAAAGAGGAAATGAAGGAAACGCTATCTACTGACACACAAGGGAAAAACAGGGTCATTAGAGAGAAGGTTCAGAAACCATGCTGTCGGATACAGGTGAATAACCACACGTTACCTCTGTCCCTCTGGTGTGCCACTGAATGTGAACATTTTGGTTGTTTGTTTTGCTTCTTCAAAACAGAGTTTCTCTGTGTAGCCCTGGTTGTCCTGGAACTTACTCTTGTAGACCAAGCTAGCCTTGAACTTAGAAATCTGCCTGCCTCTGTCTCCCAAGTGCTAGGATTAAAGGAGTATACCACCATCACCTGGCAAATTTGAACACTTTTAATGCCAACAAAACTACATGAGAGTGTGACAGCTGTTCCCTGTCTGGAAGACTGTCATACACACACTACACTGTTTTGGAAGAAGGACCCAAACAGTAACCCAGAGCGGCAGCAGGGGACAGAAAGCAAGGACACCGGGCTGTCCCACACCACCACTGAGCACAGCTTCTGCCTAACGGTGAAGAGCAGGATGGATGTGGAATTGACAGTGAAGGCTGGAACACAGGGCCGTGGCAGCTGGACTCCAAGGAGCCATTGCCCCAGCAGAGTGCCTGGTGGATGTGGAGGCCCCTGCTGGACCACCCTGCATTCTGGTGCCCATCCAGGAAAAAGGCAGGGCACAGTGCCCTCAGGTGGACAGTTCACAGGTCACAAAGAAAAGGAGCCCGCACAACTCAGTCACAGGACTTCTCTACTGAGAGCTCCCTCCTTGGGCAGCTGGAAGACCTCTCCTCTCCTCACAGTGCATCTGGCGTACACCTCCACCTTTGGGACATTCTCTGAGGCTGCATAACATCTGGCTGACATGTGACACTGCTTTTCTTCCCCAGGATGTCCGGCAGCGTTTTGGAGCATCCTTGGGCGGTCTGTCCTCAGGACGCGTCTCCATTATTGGCATGTCCGTGGTCAACCTGAAGCTGGCAGTGTCCATAGCGATCCGATTCTCAGCCACGCGGTGTCAGTTTGGACCCACAGATGAGGAAGAAATTCCTGTCCTTGAATATCCACTGCAGGTACTGGCCCTCTGCATCGTTCCCTGCTCTCTGCTCTTCTTGGCCCCTGGGAGTTGATGAGAGTTCTTAGGGGCTGCCCTGAGAATCCGACAGTGGGCAAGAGTGCACCTGCCAGGCACCAGGACCTTGGGGTGGCTTTTAATGCAAAAGGCCTATGTATGCTCAAAAGGAGGCACACGGGCGGAGGAGAGCCAAGGACGCTGGTGGCAGGTGCAAGCCTGCTCAGTGTGCAGATGAGGTCACCCTGCTCCGGCAGGTAACGCTATTCTGGGTCAGGCTACATTCTTTGACTCATCTGTCCCATCCCTAAGAAATGTCCTAAAAGAAGAAGTCATTTCTGGCAGCAGCAGGTGAGCACAGCCCTTTAAACACTCCGGCATTTAAAGCAGAAGTGGTACCCAGCCTTGCATCCTCAGAGGCAGCAACAGGGCAAAGCAGAGAGGCCACGAGTGGAAAGGGGCACATCACAGCCACCCCCTGTGGCCCCCACTGCATGCCCTGTGCCGTCAGAGCCCCACTGCATGTCCTATTCAATTGGGTGCCCTTTGCAGCCAGAGGGGCAGTCTTTATGGGGTCAAGGGTCAGGTAGGTGACCTGGTTGCTAAATCTGGCTTAGGTCTTGTGCTGAGTGCTACATTAAGTAGGTGTCTGAGTGACAGTCTGAGGAAATGAGACAGAATTACCCTTTCTCTTCACTTTCCTCTTATGTTGGCAATGCGCTGTTTAGGAAGCAAATATTTTTTTTTAAATGTGTCACTAGGCCTGGGTGGCCCACGTGCCCTACTGTGCTGTCCACCTTGTTCCCATGTTGACCACTCTGGGTGCCAAGGGCAGTCCAGTGGCTAAGGAGCTCTAGCCAAGGCCCTCGCTGATGCTGCCCCTTCCTGGGCCTGCAGAAGGCTTACAGAGTAGGCACGTGGAAACCCCTGACATAATGCCTGGCACTATGCACATGTGGAACAGCCATGGTGGCGGCTTGGTGGGTCCCTTTCGGGTGCCACCTGTCCCCTCCAGCCCATTCATCTCCTCCTCCATTTGTCCATCCAGCGGTGGGTGTGTGCCATGTGTGTCAGGTGCTGGTGTGTGGGTTCCCCCCACCCCAGGGGGACTGATCACCTTTCATGGATTCCAAGAAGTATGGTGCAAGCTGAAGAGATGGCTTGGTGGTTTAAAGCACTTGCTGCTCCTCCAGAGGACCTGGGTTTGATTCTCAGCACGTTATGGTGGCTCACAACCATCTGTGACTCCAGGTCCTGGGGAATCTGCTACCTCCTTCTGCCCTTCTTGGGTACCAGGTGCACATGAAGTGCATATATGTAGTACATGCGGGCAAAGCATTCATGCACGTAAAATAAGCATTAAAAATCGATGCCTGTCTTGAACTGAACTGGCACCAGCAATGGGTTTCCTTCATTCCTAAGGACGCTGGCTCCAGGTGCCCAGGGTCAGTGTAGACTGGCTGGCTGGGCCAGCCCCTCTTGAATACCTGTCGTGTGTCTTGTTTCCCTCAGCAATGGCGCCTACTTCCATACCTGGCAGCTGCCTATGTCTTGGACCACTTCTCTAAGACGCTCTTCTTGGACCTGATAGGGCTACAGTTTGGCCTGCTTGAGGGAAACAACAGTACCAGGCAGGTGAGCATCTGTTTCCCCGTTGCCAAGGTTGAGCAGCCCCTTTTCAGCCCTGGAGCCAAACAAAAGCAGCTGAGAGCCTGTGTGAATTCCTTCAGCTGCCCCACCGGCTTGGGGTTCGGCTTGCCCAGTGACTTGCAGTTTGGGCTGCATCCATCTGCCCATTTCCCAGGGAGGTGCTGGCAGAGCAGAACTCACAGCTTCTGAGAGCACAGTGGTTCCACACTGTGCGCTGCCACCCTGAGGTTGTCTCAGCCCTTGTCTTTTCATAAACAACTCTACAGAGTTCCGAATCCACTCTCTCCAAGTTGACAGCCCAGGAAACTCTCCTCAGTTCAGACAGACAGTGCTGGCTAAATGGATAATCTTGTGTAGCAGGCACTGCCTTCGGTGAAGTAGAAATGAGGATGTGTATGAAGCAGATGTGAGCTTCAGGAAGTGCCCATGCTGCCAAGCCATCACCAAACATCTGCATGAGCAGGGTCCTAGCCCTCCCTCTCCTCAGAGGGCTGCACTGGTTGTGCAGCATTGTGCCAATCTCTGCCCCTGATTTGTGGCCCTCTGCAGATGGTCATGGTCAGCACGCATCCATGAACTTTGTGGGAACCAAGTAATAGGCATTCTCCAGCCGTCTGTAGTGGGTGTGCGGCCCTTGAGACAGATTATCCATATAGAGGCGAGATGCACTTGTTTTCATGCCGTCCACCTGGTCTCTGTTCTCGAGTGCGTCCTGGCCCCTTTTCAGTACAGTGGGTTTCCTCTCTTCGACACTAGTGCTGAAGCTGGGGACTGACTTGCATTGTCAGAGTCTGTCTTCACCTCTTCTCGCTGGGTTCTCTCCACAGGCGGAGCTTGGACGTGAGATCCACGCCCTGGCATCAGCTGGCAAGCCCCTAGCCTCCTGGATAGCCCAACAGGGGATCCAGGAGTGCCGCGAGGCGTGTGGGGGACACGGCTATCTGGCCGGTAAGTTTGGGGCAGTTTTTGATCCTCAGTTCCCTCCCATGGGCTGTTAGGCCAGGGTTCCACAAAGTGCAGACCATTTTTCTGATAAGATTTTGTTGGAATGCAGCTGTGCCCACGCGGGCACACACTTTCTCTCAGCTGTGCCCAC